CTATATCTAAGGTAACCCCACTTTTAGTGTTCACTTCCCCAACAAAGTCTCCAGTTTTGTAATATGGTGGGAGAACTGACTTTACTGGTTTTATGTTTTTATCGCAAATGTTGCGGTTAGAAAAGTCGCCACCGAATTTTCTTTTATCCAATAAAGGAAAGGGTGAAAAGAACAGGAAAAACCTTTTTAAATATTTTGAGTTCAGGGGGTAGATTATGGAAAGGGAAGGTGTTAGCACCCTTTCCATCCGTAGTTATCTACGGGCTCTTAGTTACTAGCTCACTTTTGAAAATGCTTTTTATGTAAGTGTATTTTGAAAATATTTTTGAAAAGATGCCTTAGTGCTTCGAACTTTGTAATGATTCTCGTATCGTTGAGAACGTATACAAAGTGTTTTGTCTTTGAAAATATTTAGAAAAAAGAGAGTGTATGTGTGAGAAAATGATTTGTCTTATGAGTAAGCAACTACAAGTTGTCTACCTACTCAAATGGTCTTTGTTCTTTTCCTCTTTTCTTTTAGATAGTGTTATCCTACCATTAGTTGGTAGGTAGCCCTATTATTGGATGTTTTGAGGGACAAACGAGGGTCATCATACAGTCATAAAGGCAATTCGTATGGAACTTTGGCAATTTTATCATAAGGGACTAGATAGTATATCGAAGGCAGCATCAGAGGGTCATCGAGGGACTACGATCTTTTAAACCGAGGGTCTTTGCTAAAGTGTCCCACATTCGAGAGACATGATTGTTGTTCATCTGAGGCAACGAGTGGAGGTACCTTAGAGGTGCGCGTGTGCGAGTGTGTTGTGTTTCAATTATTAGTCTTGAGGTTAGGTTGTCTAGCGTTTGCTTTTAAGTCTTTCTATACAAGCCTATTAGCATTCATCTAGCAGTTAATATCAGTACGAAAAATAAAAAGCAGAAATTTGAATCTACGCTATTACAATGCTTCGGGATAGGGGAATTACAAGTCAAAAGGGGGGAAAGAAATGTAAATGGTCCTAGTTTAACTATTACATCCCATGTGCAATTACATAATTTATGAAAATAATACGAATAAAATTAATTAAACGCGCGAAGAAGAAATAAAAAAAATGAAGAAAGCCCTAAAATATTTCTAAGTGACAAAAGAAATATTTTTAGTTGTTCTTGTTTAGGAAAAATAAAGATTAAATTAATGGAAAAAAAACTAATTTTAATTGATTAATTAATAAAAGAAAGAAAGTGATTAAAATTATTAATTAAATTAATTTAATTAATGAAAATCTAAGTCTAATTACTTTTGTGATTTTCGAGTTTTATGATTTTTTATGATTAAATAAAAACTAATTAAAAAGAAAAATTAATTAAAATAAAACAAATAAAATAATAAAAAAAATTAATGGGCCTGCAAAAGAAAAGTTAGGAGGTGAAAAAATTAGAAGAAAAAAAACTCTGGGCCCAATAATGAGAGCCCAAATGTTTGCGTTGGATCTGATGAGGGATGCTCTCTAAAGGTCCAAGGTGGGAGCGTGTATCTGAGGCGCTGGATCTGGAAATTGGAGATTTGATGGTGTTGATGTGGAAGGTGCATCATGCGCGTGTACGCCTAGCCTGCATAGGATCTGCAAAGAATGTGTTAGAAAAATAAAATTCCCTTACGCCTGGATCGAAACCAGGACCTGTAAGGAATATGCCTTAGAACGCGCGCTACCACTGGACCATGCTGCTTTTCTGATATCGATCTGAAACAAATAAAACAAAAAGAAGAACAAACACTACGGTCGGAGAAGCGCCGGAGCCCTAGCTCCGGTCGTCTTCTCCGGCGACCTGTAATCTGCAAAAACACACAAACATAATTTTTAAAGCTCTAAAAAGCCATGCCCCCCTGAATCAAACCCCCTGATTCCAAATCCACCCTTATTTTTGGCTAAAGATTGCTGGATCATGCGTTTCGAATCAAAGTATACCAAATCAGAGATAAAATGGCTTAGGGTGATATTACGTGTATGGGGCTATCCTATCGGTTCAGACCTGTTCAGGCAATACTCAGAATCACGTTAGAAACATCAATCACGCCTAAAACTAAACATATTAAAAGAAACAGATTTTTAAAAAAACGCAAAAAAAGTTCATTTTATGATATGCAGTTTTCGTGCATTTTGGATCATGGAAATTGATCCAAGATTACTCTGTGTTCTTGCTGAGAGTGAATCAAGAGGCCTTTTGCAATGAGAAGGCTTGAAAAAGCGTGTTTTTGAATCTTATGGTTTTTGATAAAGTTGGTGTTTTGCAAGCTTTGGAGGCAGACAAAGGGCATGTTCTTCTCGTCCTCATGTTTTAGGGTTGTCATGCATATATACCAGAGCTCATTAGGTTAACAAAAGAGGAACAAATTAAATGGCATTATGATCTTTCAAATTTACTTCCAAACTTTCCATTCTTTAAAATTATTTCTCCTCTTGGCTTGCACATTTTTTCTTGACATGTGACAGCCTTGAATGAGTTGTCTTGGGCCTTAAGAGGCCACCCATAGACTTGGCCCATTTATCTCACATTTTATTTCATCTTATTTGAATAAAATCAAAATAAAATATAAATAAATAGTGAGAAAAACCAAGTCAAGGTATAAGTGAGTTTAGGGGTCTTCCATAAGGTCATGGACATGTTTGGAGCCCAAAAAGTCAGGCTTAATAACTTAAAATCACAAATTGCTCATTTGAAATTTCATGTCTTTCTTGAAAATTACCTAACTTGTGCACCTCATAACTTGCTCAATTTTCACCTTTTATAGATGATCTTGGACTTTTTGGAAATCCCAAGATGTACTCTACAATATCTATGTTGATGATTTTTTCTTTTGAAGACATTATCTTGATGTAAGTTATCTTGACAAAAAGTGTCTTTTGTTGTCTTTTGAAAATGACCTATAATGTATGAGATCATATCTTCCAAATGAAGCATTTTTTGGACTTGAGAATAAAAGCAAAGTTGTAGAGAATTGGATTTTTTTCAAAATGGGCTTTGGTTAGGGAAAAGTTAATAAAGCGTGTAAAAGTTATGTCTGGTCAAAGTTCAGTTGACTTCTCCTAAGAAAACCCTAATTTAATAAATCTTGACTTTTGATGATTTGAGAGATTTCCTTGGGGAATCATGATCAAATGATGAATATCACTTCAAAATGTTGATGTTGACCAAAAATCTTGAAGTTTGACTGTATATTGACCACAATTGACTTTTTGATCAATACAATTAACTTTCAATCATCTGAGCCATTGACTGAGCAAACTTGTGATGTAGGACTTGAAACTTGATATGAACCTTGTTCAGGACCTATGAAGAACCATGAAAGCCACTTGAGACCTTTGCAAACCAAATTTCCTTGAGAAACTCCAAACCCTAGTTGTGGGCCTTTGACTCAGAAGGTGAACTGGTCAACCCTTGAGTGTCTTGACTACTTGAAGAGCCTTGAAAGAATGCTTTGAAGAAAACGGGAGGGCAAATTTTAGGGTACAACAGACGTGATCGACCAGGATGTTGAGCCACTGTTGTTGGGTCGTGCCAAGGGTAAAAGCAGATTAGGCCAATTCTAGTCATTGAGTCAGTCCATAACAAAATCTATCTAATTTCACTGTAAACCCTTGAAAAAAATAAATCTAGTTTAGAGAAAGAGACTAACAGAAAACATGGAAGATTGGGAGATGAAAAAAAGAAGGAGATGAAGCGTTGTGGTGGTGGAAGAAGGATGAGAGAGAGAGAGAGAGAGATATGGGTGACGGCTAGTGCGGTCTAGGGTTCCAAATATCAAAATGCTAGAGTTTTATTCTTCTAAACATATATTGAGTTAACCAAAAAAGTCAGGTGAGATATTAAAAATCCATCAAAAGTCGGATAAGATATTAAAAAACCATCAAGATTGTCACGTAGGCTGAAGTTAACATTTTTCAAAAAATTTAACGAAAATGACCAATTCGACTAACAAAATAGTTTTTAAGAGATTAAAGTTTAACATTAATTAAAAATGGATTGATGGAACGATGAAATGTATTTCATTTCATTCTATCAGTTTCCATCACTTTTTATACCATTCGATTTGGACGGAATGACAAAATTGTTATTCCCTCCGTTTCATAACGAGTGACCAATTTAGAATAAAATAGTGTTCCAAAATGAATAATTCATTTCAATTTTTAATACATTTTTTCCAATTCTACTCTTTAATTAATTAAACTTTCATCATTTTTCAATACATGATTAGGAGTACTATAGTAAAAACATTAACATGGTTAAGTGTACTATAGTAAAATCACTATTCTCTTTTTTTTACATATTTCTTAATATGTGTGAAATGATAGGCTGTATCACTCATTGTGCGACAAATAAAGTATATTTTATCATAAAATATCAAATCAATAGAATAAATTCTTTTTAAGGTCATGATTACATGTGTCCTTAGGACACATATTAATAATATTATAAATTAAAAAAATTTAAATATAATTAAATATAATAAAATTATATTTAAAATTTTAAAACATTAAATACACACATTTCAAAAAAATATTTCTATAAATAAATTATTAACTTATGCTATGTTTGTTTATATCATGACTTACTTCCCTCCGCTCCGTTCCATGGCCCAATTCCACTTCTATTTATCGGGATCCAAACTTACGATGTTAATGTATAATAGTCCATTATTGTACCCAACTCTTGTACGTCTCTCCAACAAAAGTAGAGTGTATGAAAGTATTACGCCACTTTATTTATTTTATTCTGGGACAGAGTCAAACTCACGTGGCCGGTTACGACCATTGAATTGAAGTCCTAGAAGTAATTACCAAACGTGCTTTTTCATTTCATTTTCGCATAATATTATTGCTTATATTCCACCGCGCTTTTCCCTTCCAAAGAATATCCCCTTTCCTCTCCTCTCCCATTTCCTTTTGTTCTTTCCATTGGCTTTCTCCACCATTTTCACAATCGAATCAACCCTTACGAACTAGAAGAACTCACCACAAATGAAGAACGATTGGTTACCATGGATGGATTCAGATCCAGACCTATTCCCATTAGAACCATTCTTCAACAATTTTCTACAATCCTTCATACAAAACTCTAGAACTTTCTACGTTCCAGGAGCTTCGGCAATCGAAGAGACCTTTGGCCGCGTAACCAAATTCGCCGGCGCGTTGTTGTTTTGGGTTTCCGGCGGTGGATCCACCGCGTGCGGCGGTTCAATTCGATCTGGAGGCGGTTCTGGTAATGTGAATATGAATATGAAGGTTAAGCCTGTTATTGGTAATAATGTGGCTGGGTTTGGGGTTCCTTTTGGTTTTAAATCCAAGAGAAAGTCTTCTGAACGTGTGAGTTTGGGGAAGGTTTCGAGTTTTGTGGTTAGGTTGTTCTGGAGAGAAGCTAAAAGGATTCAATCGTATCCTGTTTTGTCTATTGCTGCAGCATTGGTGCCGCCAATTCAAAACTTGTATGTCATGTATATTTGTATTATGATTTGATTTTTGAAACATTGTTGTGATGTGAATGATATGATCATGAACTGTGATCACATGTTTTGAAAGTTGGTAGCAGTATTAATAGACATTGATTTTACCGGTTTATGTATCTTGGAAGAGTCAGAGTCAATTTATGTTTTATGAGTCACAGTTGAACTGATGAACTGTTGAAATGGAATATAGTTACCATTACCATGCTATTATGGATTAGAGTTTTTATGCTAGAATGGAAAACAATTAGGTTTTAGGACTGACAGAAAGGTATGAACTGTAACTTTTAAGAGAATCCATCTCATTGAACAATATTGGGGAATTGGAAAAAAGTTTGGATGGAATAGGATACAATAGACTCCCATTCTGTTCCTTTCACTCCTATGAATTCAACAAGTCTTTGTTTGTTTCATTTCTTTTTTTTTTGTCCTACAACAGTTTAGTTTTTTTTTCCTTTTTCTTATTGTGCTATAATTTTGCTTCTAGGTCATCAAATCTACTGTCTGGGCCAATGCAGGATCCTGATATGCAAATGCATGAAAGCATGGACCAAGTGCCTAAGGATGTTGAACGCCAAAGATGTCCTCGCCTATCAATTTCTGAGTTGAATCTAGCAAATTCTGCTGTGGAGGCCAAAACTGGCATTGAATTTCCTATGGTTCTGGATAATTTATCAGCTGGGGAGCAGAATTCCCGCTCTGACTCAGAGGTTAATATCTGTTTTACTTTCTTCTTTGCTGGCTCTTCTAGTAGCCCTTTCATAGTTGAGTTATGTATTTCTTTATCGACCACACACTAGTTGAGTTTTAGTTAGACACTCTTGCTAGATTCTTGCTTGTTTGCTGCCTACTAGTTATTTCTGGTTATCAATACATGGTTGATTAAGAATATGGTTAGCTGGGGTCCTCGAGTGGAAATATTGAAGCAAGAGTTTATGAAAATGAAGGTAAACATTGGATCGATTTTCTAAGAAAAGAAGCATTGAAAATCTAGAAAAGAAACAAATAAGTAAAGAAGAAAAGGGACAAGATACAAATGTTGGAAAAGATGGTATTGTGGACAGAAACTGAGTGAACAATGCTTTGAGAAGGAACTGAAAGTTACAGTCTCAAAAGGACTTATATATTAGCAGAGAGCTAACAAATCATAATCATGTAATTAGTCACCAGCTTACTGATTACCAGTTAGCCAAACTCAACCATTAGTACTAAATAGCTACTGAAAAATGACTTACAGTATAGTTATTACTTAATAGGCGTGAAGAGAAATGTAACTATACTTCTGAGTTTCTGACATAATACGTGGTTATTTGGTAACTAATAGTATTAGTTTTTTTCATATCTTATTTGATTTTATTCATCTGCCTATCACTACATCATGTCATGTGTTTGAAATTTCCATATTTACCTTTGCTTTCACATGATTAATCATTTAAATTTGCATCAGGTCCTGGTTGGAACGGGTTCTAGAACCATGACAATTGTTAAAATCAAGTCGCTTAAGATCTATGCTTTTGGATTTTGTAAGTTTTTCTCTATACTTGAACATTTCTTTTGAAGAGAAAAAGAAACATTATGGATTCTTGTTTGTGGTATTGTTAGCAAAAGTTCCCCTTTTCATTGAGTCACTCTTGGTTGTTATTTAACAGATGTTCACCCGAACTCCCTCTGTGAGAAGTTGGGCCCAAAATATGCATCAATTTCTGCAGATGAACTGAATGACCATAATGATTTCTACCAAGATCTTCTCAGGTTTCAAACATCTTGTACTAACTTTTTTTTTGTGTGTGTTGTGCCTAAAATATTATTGAATGCAAGTGCTCTTTCTTGGCGATGATACTCAAATTATATGTAATATCATAAAAAATACACGAGAACTTTGTGGGATTATATGAAAATTCTTTGGTGATATAAAAGAAGAGAAAAGAAGTGATGCACTGACAGTGTAAAATGGTTTTACATTGTCAACCAATCACAACCATGTATCTAATTATACCCCACTTTTATTTTAAAATAATTTTAATGACATGGAAGTTTGTTGATTTTCTATTGGTTGATTGTGTAAAAGAACTTTACACTGATAGTGTATGAATATTGTTCTCATAAAAGAATGGGTTGAATCAATGATTAAATCTCCCCAAGTAGGATTTGGCTAAATAATGTGTAGTGACATTTGTGAACTCGTGGTTATGGTATTTATTGAATTAGGAGAGACTAAGAGACATTTAGGTTAAACCGTGTGTTTTGAAAGCACTACGGATACTATTATATATAGAGAGATTACAACTAATTACACGATATAATCGATGTGAGACTATTTTACATACAAATATTCTTAACATTATATATTTACAAATATCAACACTCCCCCTCAAGCTGGAGCATATAAGTCAAATGCATCAAGCTTGCCACATATATAATTAGTTCTAGGGCTTCGCAGAGATTTTGTAAACACATCTGCCAATTGATCATTAGAGTTGACAAAGCTTGTGACGATGTCGCCAGATTCAATCTTCTCTCTGACAAAGTGACAGTCTATCTCAATATGTTTGGTCCTCTCATGAAAGACTGAATTTGAAGCAATGTGCAATGCAACTTGATTATCACATACAAGTGTCATTGGTCTTGCTTCTTCAATTTTAAGTTCTTTGAGCAATTGTTTTATCCAAATGAGTTCACATGTTGCCATTGCCATGGTCATATACTCTGCCTCGGCGCTTGATCTTGCAAATACATTTCGTTTCTTATTTTTCCAGGATATAAGGTTTCCTCCAACAAGTACATAATACCCAGATGTGGATCGTCTATCAATTGGTGACCCTGCCCAATCAGCATCAGAGTATCCAACCATCTGAGTATGTCCTTTATCTTCATCCACTAAACTTTTTTCTGGAGCACATTTGATGTATCTTAGAATCCGGATAACAGCATCCATGTGTTCCTGTGAGATGTCTGAATGAGTGACAGTGAGATAATTCAACTTTCCAACCAATCTCCTATACCTTCTCGAGTCTGATAGAGGCTCCCTCTGATTGGGTAATAGTTTAACACTTGGATCCATAAGAGTATCAACTGGTTTAGCGTTCAACAAACATATTTCTTCTAAAATATCCATAGCATATTTCCGCTGAGAAATCACCAAACCATCTTTAGATTGGGCTACCTCAATACCCAAGAAATACTGGAGTTTACCAAGATCCTTTGTCTGAAATTAATTCGAAAGATGTTGTTTCAACTGGAATATTTCCGACTCATCACTACCAGTTATGACAATATCATCTACATACACAATAAGATAAATACACTCTTGGACTGAGTGACGATAAAAGACAGAATGGTCAGCTTCACTATGGACCATACCAAATTATTGTACTACAGTGCTGAATCTGCCAAACCAAGCTCTCGGAGATTGTTTAAGACCATAAAGAGACCTGTGTAGCCTACAAACCATATTCGATGACTCCCCCTGAGCAACAAACCCAGGTGGTTGCTCCATATATACTTCCTCTTCAAGATCACCATGTAAAAATACATTTTTGATGTCAAGTTGATGAAGAGGCCAATGTCGAATGACTGCAATGGCTAGAAGAAGTCTAACAGATGCCATCTTGGCTACAGGCGAGAAGGTATCACTATAATCCAACCCAAAAATCTGAGTGTATCCCTTGGCTACCAGGCGAGCTTTAAAACGATCAATCTTATCATCTGGACTAACCTTCACTGTATAAAGCCAACGACAACCTACTAAAGATTTTCCAGTGGGTAGAGGAACCAGTTCCTAGGTACCACTGCTTTGAAGAGCACACATTTCATCAATCATTTCTTGCCTCCACTCAGGGTGAGATAATGCTTCACCTGAAGATTTAGGAATAGAAACAGAAGACAAAGAGGACAATGGGAAATGGGACTTCCAGCAGAGATGTAGGGGTACTTTCTTGAAGGGGTTCCGGAGTGACTTGGGTGGACGGAAAATATGGCACAGGCTCGAAAAAGGTAACATCGGCCGATATCAGGTATCATTGCAGAGTGTGAGTAGCAATGATAACCCTTTTGGGATCGATGATAACCAAGAAAGACACACTTTAGTGATCGAGCTGATAGTTTATCAAGACCAGGGGAGAGATTATGCACAAAACATGTAGACCCGAAGACTCGAAGAGGAATTGGGTGAAGAGGAGAGTTTGGAAAGAGGATTGAATGAGGGATTTTATTATTAAGGACAGATGAGGGCATGCGATTTATGAGATAACACGCCGTGAACAAGCATCCCCCCAAAATCTGAGAGGGACATTACCATGGAGAAGTAGAGTCCGAGCGGTTTCTACGAGATGCCGGTTTTTGCGTTCGGCTATCCCGTTTTGTTGAGGTGTATGAGGGCAAGATGTTTGGTGTAGAATACCATTGGATGACATAAAAGTTTGAAATTGTTGGGATAAATATTCATGTGCATTGTCACTTCTTAAGGTACGAATGGACAAACCAAATTGGGTTCTTATTTTAAATAGAAAACAATTCAAATATGTTTTTCATTAAAAATAGCCACGTGCTAACGTGAAAAATCATCAATAAATGTTACAAAATACCTAGACTCAAAAGTAGACACGGTACGCGATGGATCCCAAACATCGGAGTGAACTAAAGCAAAAGGGGACATAACCCGTTTATTGACTCGATCGGGAAAGTGTCTACAAGTATGTTTCCCTAATTGACAAGACTCGCACTGTAAAGTGGATAATTTAGATAAACTGGACACCAATTTTTGTAGCTTGGGAAGACTTGGATGACCTAACTGCGCATGTATAACGAGTGAAGAATTTGTGGTGGAGCATGTGGTAGATGACATAGAGAAGTAGTATAGGCCTTGAGACTCACATCAGACGCCAATCGTCTGTCCCGAACTTCGATCCTACAGAATAACATCACTGTTAGTAAAAAGTGATCGAACAATTAATGGAACGAGTTAAACGACTGACTGACAGTAGATTAAATGGACAATTAGGTACATATAAGACAAAAGTAACAAAGAGAGATGGTAGAATTTGAACAGTATCGATCCCTTGGGATTGGGTTTGAGAACCATTTGCGGCAATTATACTCGGTAAGAAACCAGAGGTAGAAAGGGAAGAGAAAGGATTTTTATTATCGGTAACATGATCAGACGCACCAGAGTCGAGGACCCAAGGACCAAGAGGAGATGATTGAGAGACGCAAACAGATGAATTACTAGTGCGTGCAATCAAAGTCGTGGAACCAGAGGTCTAGTTAGTCTGACACCACCTGAGAAAATCCTCGTAGCTTGACGTAGGGTTCTGAAGAGAAGGTAAGAGTGCATAGTGTCTGGGTTATCAATTTGAGCTGCATTTACTTGCCGTGGAGGTTTGCCATGCCAACTTCCAGTAACGACCGATAGTATGTCCAAGCCGGTTACAATGGTACACTTAGGATGAGGTTTGGAGTTGGACGACCCTCATCGAAGGCGATTCTGATTGTTGCCAAGAGATGCAAGAGCAGCAGTGAGTGTCACCTGGTGTTGGAATAGCAATAGATGGAGGAGAAACCAGGCCAAATGCATGAGGTGTAGCCAAGCCCAACAATTGTTCACTAACTGTATCATAGTTAGGAACAGTAGTACCTGATAAAATCTGGTTACGGATTCGAGTTTGATGGTAGTCCTTTAAGTACCATGACCATGAAATATTTACTCTGTTGTTCGGCATGAGCTATTGCATCTTTTGCGTAAGACTTGAGGGTTGCGTGACTTGCTTTCAAGGCATCAAGCTTACTCAGCTAAGCTTGCACATCTATATTTTCTAACTTCAGTGTGTTGAGTTTGTGGATGACACTATAGAGAACGAACGTCGTTGGAAAAGACTTTCTTGGCCTTTTGCCACACCTCATAACAAGTGGAGAATGCTTGGCACTACGCTTGGAGGTTAGGTGATATGGAAAACCACAACACAATACACAAAGAGACATCAGTTTTCTTCCATTTAGCGAGTTTGACGGCTGCAACGTCACTCAATTGGGTGGTTAGATGCTCTTCATATCCTTGACTGTGAAACCATGTCTCGACAGCACGAGCCCATATGTTATAGTTAGCTGATCCGGTTAGTTTTTCGCATGGGATAAGTGGGAACTTTAGTAAACGAGACAAAATCAGCATCTCCTTTGGCTTAAAACACAACAACTGAGGCTGTTTGAACAAGAGTACGACTTTCTGTGAGTTGAAAACGGTAACCAAGGGTGGATCTGGAACCGGAGAAGAAAGGCGATTTTCTGGTAAAATTTTTTTTTCGTGAGCAGTAGCGGCGACGATGAACAGTGGTGGCGGTGAACAGTAGCCCCCCGAAATTATTATTTTTTTTCCCGTGGGCAGTGCGGCGGCAGATGTCGCTGGAAAAAAATTTAAAAAAAAAAAGGTGAGGCAAATCGAAATGATGACACGGTTTGCAGAAAAAAATTTCTCACCGGAAGACAGTGGGTCAACCGAGTAAAGCACGGCGAAGAATTGCCTCTTAGAAGGCTCTAGATACTATATTGAATTAGGAGAGACTAAGAGACATTTAGATTAAACCGTGTGTTTTGAAAACACTACGGAGACTTTATTATATATAGAGAGATTACAACTAATTACATGATATAATCGATGTGAGACTATTCTACCTACAAATGTTCTTAACATTATATATTTATAAATATCAACATTATTAAATATTAATTTTGATGGAGCTTTTGGGATTTTTACTTATGCAGGGAAGATATCAGTATGACTGTTAGGCTTGTCGTAAATTGCAAAGGGATGAAAATTAACAGTGTGAAAAAGTAAGTATTTTTATTCTCAAGTTGCATAAATGTTTCATTGAATCTATATTTATATTTTACCCTTTCCTTGTCGGAATTTGCACAGGCATGAAAATTAAGCGGGAACGAGTACTTTTTTTCCAAGTTATAATAAATGCTTCTTTGATTTTTAAATTTATAATTTTTTAGTTTCCTGCTGTGCTCTATTCCTTTTGTTAAACTTTTTTTTATCTAGAAAAATATCTAGTGTGCTAGTATTTACTTTTTAAAAATTACTTAGAATATTTTAGTTTAGATTTGCATAATTTTTATAATTTAGAATTCCTAATCTCGTCAATATTGAGGACTTAAAGAGTAGGCCTGCTGATAGAGTGAGTGAACAACTGAATGAGAATGTATTAGAAATTGAAGGAAAAGCAGAGCCTAGTAGAAGCAGGGCCCTCATCCTGACCCTGGACTCTATCACCTGCGTTTCTAATGCCATGCTGCAGCCTTGGCATAAAGATGTTTGGCATATACATTTGATTTGCAGCCTTGGCAAAGAGATGTTTGGCATATATATTTGATTTTATAAAATTAAAATCACATGCAGAAACTGATATATTTTTTGTCTTCATTGCAGTGCTTTTGAGAAATCACTTAGAGCTCGACTAGCTAAGGTACTTTACCTCTTGAGAAGTCATTTTTTAAAGCTTTTGCACTGGATTAGTTCTAACTTAGTTTCTGCAAACCCCACTTTTGGTTAGACAAATCCTTCCGCAGACTTTGATTGCCTTTGGACATTTGGTTCATACTTTACGGAGAATATCCCAATACCTTTGGTAAGTTTTCGTCCAATATGTTTCTTGTAATAATACTGAATAATTAATCATGTCATATAGTTACATTAGCTGTACTGCAATGTTGCAGGGAACAGTAATTGAGTTTAAACGAACAGTTGACGGGCATCTGATTACTGAAAGTAAGTAATTTTTTTGCTGGCATTAAATTGACCTTTGAAACTATGTATACTGTTTGCCTTATAAAGATTTATATTTTTGGTCTGCCTTCTCTGTGATGTTTGAAGGCATGCATATTTCTTTGTATGTATTCTGTATTATTGAGAAATGAGAAATAGTGTTCACAACTGAAAGTATTCTGATAGTATTACTTACTTTTTAACTGTACAGTTGGTGGTAGTTACGTTGGAAGTGTCCACAGCAAAGATATGTGTCGTAAGTCATACTCAAACTTATGCATTGCACTAATTTGAATTTCTCTATTTCTCTTGTAGACACTAGAGTATCAAACTGAACAGGTTCAATGTCCTAAAACTTGTAGGGGCTTTCTTTGACATGTACATTGGAGATCTCCCTGTGTGCGAACAAACCAAGAAAGAGATTGGCACGAACATCGCAAATATTATTAGGAGTTGTTGAAACAATTCTTTTCCTTTACAATTGTCCTGATTTTAGAATGGACAATTGGAGGATGGCATAGCATCCAAACCTATAGCAGAAGCAGTTGTTTCATGAATTTGATTTCAATCTGCTTTAAAATTGGCCGTAGTTCCTTTTCAAGGTTTGTCCTTTGAATCATAGAAATCATTAGGATAGCTCGAGTTAGATTACTGTTAGAATTATTCCCTGTTCCTATTGATGATGATACGAAAGGCAAAAAATTGCCTGAGTAGAATATTAATGTCAGTTTGCTCCAGCTTAGATTTTTTTCTGAATTTAGTTAAATACCATCTACCACTGCTACCACTGCATCATGTCTCCTCCATACAGCCTCCATTTAGTAGTACTTTAGTGTTTAAATAGGTAGGTGGTTCTTTAATATGTATTAGAGTCACCACCGTTGCGAATCTCCATTACAATCTACCACCACCACCACTCCACAGTCTATCGCCACCATCATCGCTTCATTTTCTTTGTGGCGCCGTTCTAGAATGAGGATGTCGTCTTCGTTGTGTTGTAACAGTGACATAAAGTGGTTGCCCTGGAACAATGGAGTCATTATCTGCAAACCGTTGTATATTGAATTAAAATTGAATCCACATCAGCAACTATCTTATTCGCTCTGTTTTGATTAAAATTGAATCCACATCAGCAACTATCTTATTCGCTCTGTTTTGATGAAAAGTAGTGTCGTACACATTAGCATTTTCCTTTTTTCATATGCAAAGTAATCGACTTAATGTGTGTTAGAAAATAGTGACTCGATGGTGATTTGAAGGTGTTATGAAGTTGGAAAGATTCTTCTAAGATTGAAACGAGTATGGTTGATAAAAATAATGTAAGCTTAACATGACATGCGTTGCATGTGTGTAATGAATAAGGATGAGATGGATTCTAGGAAAATGTAAAGGTGTATACAATTTATGTTTGCCCACATCATGTCTACGAAGCTAGTAATGAACTCACAATTTGTTACAATGTGTACAATTTATGTATTTGCCCACATCATGTTTATAGAAGATAGTCATGAACTCACGATTTTTAGATTTTGACATGATTTATGATCAAATAAACATGTTTCCATTATCACTTCTAATGCATGTTGTCGATATAAGTCATGTGAGTCACTTTATTAGTAGAGGTAAAGTTTGAGAATTTCTTAGTAAACCTTTATAGGGTGAAAAACATATCTGAAAATTCTAAAATACTCTTTGGATATGCATTTTTGAACGAAATTTTAAAATGTGTTTTGGATATGCATATTCGAAAATCTCCTTTTTGTACGTTATTAACGTTGGATTTAAACATCTAATGAATGTTTTGAATATGCACATCCGAGTCCACCTTAGAGGTATTTCAAATGTGTATATTCGAAACTCCCACTGAACTAGAGAGAATGGAGGTAGAAGGTGGAATAGTGGCGTGTGGTAATTTTTTTATTAAATGTATCGAAAATAATTTGACACGTAACCTATTTGATTTATATAGAAAAATTGAAAACCGAAAAATACGAAAATAAAGTGATTAGAAATACCGGAAATGTAATACATAAGTTGTTCATAATGTATGGAATGACAAACGATTACATTGGAAAATACAAAATAAAGCATACTATATCGTGTATGTCTAATCTTAACCCTCTGGCCCCTCCTCTGCTTACTGTAATCTGTTGCACTCGATGCCTCCTTAACCATCCTCTATACAATGGCCACCGCCTCATCACCGCTCTTCTAAATGATCCATTGGTCCAATGCCTCCAGTCCAATTAAGTGTATCCTCTGACATATCAACAAGAGACCAGTGACATGGTCATCTTGAGTCTGCTGGTTCTCAATGATCTCCTGATGAGCTGGTCTGGGTGGATGTTTAGGAGCATCGAGTGTCATGATATGATGTGACACTTGGAAGAACCATGTCACATTTCCCTCTACATAATGTCAAGCGCTAGATGCCAACATCATCATATACGCCTCTAGGACCATATAAGTCTCCCAGTCCTGAAAAATGTCACCGAGATCCCAGCGAACAATGCAATCTGAAGCAACCTCAGTGGGAGATCTAGGAATGGACTGTACATATCCAAAATGTAGGATGCATCGCTCCGAAAGATACCTCACCATGATGTTGGTCCCACGTGGAAGCCAACCTGAATATAAATGAGTCATAGTAGACTGTAGTGCTCTCTCGCGTCGAGCCGAGGCTGTCTGGGTAGGTCTAACAAGTCTCGTTCTGTTTGGAATATCAACCATTAACCTGAAACAATAGCAACTAATCAACGCAATATGAGATTTATATTAAAAAAACTATTCAGACCTAAATTCGGATGTGCATATCCGAAATATCTTATAGAGGATTTCAGATATGCACATCCGAAAACCCATGCGAACTGCCATTTTTGAGCAACTGTGTTTTCTTTCCCTAACTACTCAAAAAACTTCAAACACACTCAAACAATCATATTTTTCAAATTAAACATCAAATAACTAAATTTAAATCATTTAAGTAATATTTTTTGCAATTGTAAAGTATAACAAAAGATTCAGATTCAGAGAAACTTACACAAATTGAGAGTTTTGAAGTGTTGAAGTGTTCTTGAAATGGATTGACAATGTAACATGCTTTTGAACTTTGTTGCTCAAAGATTGCTCAAAATATTTGGAAAATAGGGAGTTGGAATAAAGATAATGAGAATGGAGAAAGATGGAAAATGGGTTTCTGTTTGTGTGTATAACTGAGGAGATTCAGATATGCATTATTCGAATCAACTACGTTAAAAAAATTAAAGGGTTGATTCGGATATGCATATCTGAATCACCCTTTATGTTGATTAAACAGTTGTTTCAGATATGCATATTCGAAACAATTCCTTAAAATATGAAAGGTGGTTCGTTCAAATATGCATATCCGAAATTTAGGGACATTTGTGGAATTTCGTCAAGGGCCCCTAAGAAAGTGTAAGAGTGCATAAAGATATTCTCGTAAAAAATTTAAAAGAAATATGTTAAGATAAGTAAGCCCATTAGAGAGAGGAAACATTCTATTTTACTTAAGGACTTTTATTATTAAATGGGGTGTCTTTAGTAGTTTTGTCTTAGTTATTTTTTAGGTGTTTCCTAAGAGGCCCATGGCCCATTATGTTGTTAGAAAACCATAACTATATATATTGTAAGCATCTATTTGATTAATGGATAAGAAAATTCTGAAGTTGTTTTATTTAATTCTTCCATTGAAACTTAGGTCTAGTATTATCTTTGAGTAATTATCTATTATTGGTGCTTTCATCTTGAGTTCATAGTCCCCCAAACCTACTCAACCTTCCCCTCAAGAAATTGTGGAACAAGCTGTCCAAACCTCTCATATTTACCTAGATAATGTCATTAACCAAACTCAACAATAAATGGATGAAAGGTTTGACAAAGTTCATACAGATCTGGAGCAAACTCACCAACATCTTGGACAGATCAACACAAGAATGGAGAATGATAAACAATTTTTTTATTCTCGCTACGACTCTATCATGTCCACTCTGCACAAACTGCTTACCCAGAAGGAACAACAATATTCTGCTACTGTTCACTCAACACCTAGTTCTTTATGTATAACTCTAAATCTCTCATCTATTTAAATGGTTACAACACCTATTTCTAATGTTATTTTCCCTGCCAACACACCCATAAGACATTCTGCCGCTTTTTCCCACACAACCTAACATCACACCTATAATGCGCCCAACTCCCGATCAACCCCACCCTTCCTTTCGCAACTTTTCCCATCATACCCAACATTCCCAATTGCTTTTACACCCACACAAACATATAACATGTCTTTTACACCACATATTCTCTAGACCCAAATCTGCCAAATCCATCAATTGCCCCCTTTTCCTACCCCTAAACTTGAACTTGCAATATTTGATGGTTAAAATCCTTTAGAATAGTTATTTCTAGCTGACCAATTTTTTAATTTTTACAATTTACCATATGAAAATAGACTATCCCTAATCTCATTTTATGTGAAGGGTGATGCCTTGTGTTGGTTCAAATGGATGCATCATAATCAATTAATTACAGATTAGTTCTCTTTTACTAAATCCTTGGAACTGTGTTTTGGTCCTTCTACTTATGAGAATCATCAGCATGAGTTGTTTAAATTGAAACAAGATGGTTCTGTTTTTGATTACCAATCTAAATTTTAGAAATTAGGTAACTAGGTTGTTGGATTGCCTCAAGATGCCATTCTAAATTGCTTTATTTCTGGTTTAACACCAGATATTCAACATGAATTAGCTATTCATAAACCAGTGTCCATTTCACAAGCTATTGGTCACGCAAAACTTATAGAATCCAAAATTCAAGATGCAAAAGCTAAAACCCACAAAACATATAACCACCCCCACAATTGCGCAAATTCTGCTTTGCCACAACAATCTAACAACAAACTCACAAATTTCCTTTCCCCCAAACAGTTCCTGCCCCTAAACTCCCATCTATATCCCAACCCAATTGCCTGCCTATACGACGAATCTTCAACATCCAACTACAAGAACGTCGTGCCCAAGAGTTGTGTTTTAATTGTGATGAAAAATTCATTGCTGGACATAAGTGTGCCTCAGGAATATTTTTTTTGCTTCTGGTTAATGATGAAATCTCAAAATCAGAACAAGTGATAGAAAAAACTAGTGAGGACGAACCTTCCTCAATGGACCCTAATCATACCTATTTTCAACTTTCACCACAAGCCTTAACTGGCCAATTTCCCCCCAAAACTCTTATATTTCAAGGCATTATTAGCGGCCTGCCTATCATGGTTCTAGTGGATACTGGCAGCACGTATAACATCCTACAACCTAGACTTGCACAACACCAAATCTTTCCACAGCACCAATACCCCAATTTTCAGTCATGGTAGGGAATGGTTCCCATTTGAAATGTCATGGGATATGCCAAGATGTTAAAATCACACTTCAAACCAATCTTTTT